ATTCGTTTTCTCCTGAATCGCTCCGCTCAGCTCGAATGAGACTGCTGTGAGAAAGTGATATCCTGCAGGCTTGCGCCTGCTCCGACGCTCCGCTTGTGAATAGATGCTTCAGCGCGCGCAGGCTCCGTAAGGGCCCCGCTAGCTTGCTGAAAGATATATATATATATATATATATATATATGTATATATATACATATGTGTACATGTCATTATTTATGTCCTGCTACCTTCCTATCTAGTTTTGTATACCTTTACCTCTTCTTCCCCATACACCCCTATCTATTATTAATCTGTCTATCGATTTATATGTCACTCTATGTCTCTTTCTATCTTCTCTATCTCACTATCTGTCTATATTTGTATATCTTTCAATTATCGGGACAACTAGCGGGACAACCATCGGGACAACCATCTGGAAAGCCATCGGGACAACCATCGGGACATCCATCGGGACAACCACCGGGACAACCATTGGGACAACCGCAACCATCGGGACAACCGCCGGGACAACCGCTGGGACAACCATCGGGACAACCATCGGGACAACATCTAACAACATCTATCTAACAACATCTAACAACATCTTACAACATCTAACAACATCTGTTCATCAACCAACCATGTGGACAACCATCGGGGCAACCATCGGGGCAACCATCGGGACAACCATCGGGACAACCGTCGGGACAACCATCGCGACAACCATCGGGACAACCATCGTGGCAGCCATCGGGACAACCATCGGGACAACCTTCGGGACAACCATCGGACAACCGTCGGGACAATCATCGGGACAACCATCGGGACAACCATTGGGACAACCATCGGGACAACCACCACCATCGGGGCAACCATCGGGACAACCGCTGGGACAACCGGGGGCCAAGCCCGGTGCTCGGTGGGCGGCCTTTTGGGCAATAGATGGCCTGTACTGCGGATGGAACTCGCGCAGCTTCGCATCGCCCGCGCGCACGACGCGAACCGAAACCGACACCGATTTCCCGGTTGGGGTCACTTCCGCTCCAATCCCCCAAGTTCCGATTTTAAGCGTTCCATGTGGCGCAATCTATGCGGTCGCGCATACATGCACACACATATGTATATGTAATTGTATAGGCATATATATACATATATATATACATGTTTGTAGATGTAAATCTTGTAGTTTTGCATCTGTATATTTATATTGTTTGTACGCGTGCATGTATGCCAGTATATACACGCAAGAGTGCATTGGCGCTTCGCGCCATGCACCTTGTTCCGGACGCTTCGCTGGCAAAGCAAGAAATCATCGCTTGCTTCAGCACGGGGGACCTCGAGTCATGGACGGGCGGTGCTCATCTTTTTAGGTCCATGGTGCCTGCTGACACCGCGTTCGCCAGATGCGTTTGTACGTTCGTGCGCAGGAGGGGGGGTGAAGGATGTTTTTTTTACGCGCGAAGGTGTTGGCAAACGACGAGCCATCAAACTGTTGTGACGGCGCCTGTCCATGATAGGGGAACGGCAAGGGAACAGGGATGTGGGGAGGGCTGGAGAGGCGGAAAAGGGGGGAGGATGGGGGCAGAAACGGGGAGAAGGTCCCGAGGAAGGAGAGGACGAATGAGGACGGCCATCGGATGCCACGAACGTGGAGGTCGACGAAGAAGGCAGAGGGGGGAAGGGAAAGAGAGAGAGAGAGAGAGAGAAAGAGGGAGGGAGAGAGAGAGGGATAGAGAGAGAGAGAGTGGGGGAAAACAGAAGAAGGTGATAGATGTACGGGAACGACAGACGGGCTGGCGTGAGCGCGACGAGCACACGGAAAACGCCGTCTGGACGATTTTGATGCTCTTTTGGGCCGTCCTGGGGC